GAGAGAGAGAGAGAGAGAGAGAGAGAGAGAGAGAGAGAGAGAGAGAGAGAGAGAGAGAGGCATGGAAGAAGGGGAGGAACACTGACCTTCGCGAACAAGCTCCAAGGACGTCAAAGGCAGCGGGTCGCAGCTGACGACGAATGAACTCCAAAGTGGTGGATTGCAGCAGCACGTGCGACGTGGAGTGCAGCCCTGTTATTTTTGCAGCTGTGTGGAAAACTGCGAAGTTGGAATTGAAATTCTTCGCGCCTCTGTGCTGAAGGGCATCTGAGAAAGATGCATCCCCCGCGGGAGGGCAAATCAGACACGCACCAGGGGAAATGGAACCGGCTGTCCAATAGGGGCATTCCAGAAAGTTGTGCCCCTCACTGACAGGGGCCTGCGCAAAAGTTCAGAGGCCCCAGGGGCAAATCAGGGTAAGTCATCCGTCAGAGGGGCAACTCGCAACTAAACGGAAATTTCAGGGGCATTTTGAAAATTCCCCTATGAAAAAGAGGGGGCGGGAGGGGGGGGTTGCAGCCCAGCACTGTTCGAGGGGTTGAAGGCAAACCATGATGGGCTTCATGTCTGAAAATCGAATTGTCACTCTCGGTCTTGGCATGGTTTAGGTTCCGAAAAAAATCGAACCCAAATGAGAGTTTGCAGCCCCTCTGTTTGGGCCCTTTGGGGCATAAAGCCGAGCCATAGTGGGCTTCCCGTCTACCACCTCTCTTTGTAGGGTTTTGGTTTCCGACAGTGTTGCATAAGGTAACGTGCAGACCAGAACAAGAACCGACCTCTCAATGCAAAGTACAAGATGGCGCAAACGGAAGACTTAGATACCAATGATCCGATCAATCAATGTTGCAATGCAGTCCAGAACATACATCATCATCATCATCCCAGAGTGTGAAAGGGGTCTGGCGCTTCACACAGGAAGACTGCGCCAGCCCCACACATACACAGACGAAGATGAGGGGGGTTAGACGAAGAGGAGGGAAAGATGGGAATGTCGTCAACACCAAGTCTTCTGCACAGGCCCAAATAGTCCCTCGTCCAAATGTCTGAATCCCAAATGTCGAGTCTGTATCCAATGTCGTCAAGTCTCAAGTCATATCTCTCTCTCGTAGTCCACAGATACTGAGAAGTAGGCAGCGAGAGGGGAAGAAGAGGTGGACTTAGAAGAGGAAGAAGAAGAACTCTCTCTCTCTCTCAGTCCAGTACTAACCTGTGAAGGCGGCGCTGTGATGCAGGTACCTCGAAGATGGAGCTGGAGCGATGGTGCCACAGGTAAGTACTACTGGCCTCCGCCAGTCACCTCTCTCCCATATCACTACTATTACTACTGCTATAGCGCCCAGCGCTGAAGACTACAGCTATGGCGCCCAGCGCTGAAGACTACCACTAGCGCTATCTGCCCTGAGCAGCACTCCTCCGAGTGCTGCTCCGCTATCCTGAAGACTACACCTGACCACTGTCTGACTACCTACCTGTGAAGTGCCTGGGAAGGTCCTATGTACTACCACGGGTGCCTCCTGACTCGTGCGAGCAGTCCAGGAGGCTGCACTTGCCAATGCCGAAGGGAGGCAGGGGCTGCAGCTGCAGCTCCCGCTCGAGCTTGAGTGGGGAACAGG